AGTTGGTTCCAACTCATAGCAACCCTGTATAGGGTTTCTGAGGAGTGACTAGTGAGCTTGAACCTTTGGCCTTGCAGTTCAAACTGACTTTGCAGTCCAGCACATTAACCCATAGTGCCATACCAGGACTCCAGTAGGTGTAGATGATTATTATTAAGCCCTCATGGAATTGAATGGATGAAAATGGCCTTAGTTTCTTATTTTTCATGTGAGCTTCCACCTGCCTGCTTCCAAGAATCCAGACTGATTATATCACTAAATCCTGGTTCTACTGGCATTAGCTCAGATCCTGGACTCCTTGGTTCAAGATGATGCTCACGATCCCATTTCACACTGTCTTTCTATGTATTAAAACCAAAACAACAGTTGCCATCAAGTCAATTCTGACTCATGGTGACACCATGTGTCGTAGGGTAGAATTACTCCATAGGATTCTCAGGGCTGGGGACTTTAGGAGCAGATCACCAGACCTTTTCTTCTGAAGCAGCTCAGGTGTATTTGAACTGCCAACTTTTTGGTTAGTAGTTGAGTGCTTAACCATTTGCACCACCTCTATGGATCTGAATTACACCTATTTGAATAATTTCCTCTAGAGTTTTGAGGTAGAGGATGGGGACAGGGTAGGTAAGATGTTGAAAATTATTGGCCCCATCTTCAGGTTTTTGTCTTTGGGATAATTGCTGCCATTTTGTCCAGTACCTTCAGGGCCAGGCCCTTACTACTGTCACAGTGACAACCAGAGAGTCTATTTTATTAAAGTTTTAAAATCCTTGAAAGTCTTGTTGTCTACCTTCAAGTGACAACACACAGACTGGCAGTTTGCTCTAGCACTGACCTTTGTGGGACCCATGATAACTTCATGGTTGTATTGAGTTAATTCAATAAATATTTACTGAGCATCTACTATGATCCAAGCACTGCTAAAGACTAGACAAAAGACAGCCAATCTCTGAGCTCACAGAGTCTACAGGTTAGTACATGAAATTGGCATCATATAAAAATCTCCAAAAGCATCCTAAAAATTGCAGTGTTAAAAGGGACGTGAACAGTATTTAAAGAAAGAATGTCTTGAGTACAATAGTTCCTCACTACATAATGATTATTTCTTCACATGTCAATATACTACTCCCAACTTTTATTCTTAACTCTTTTCTTGTCCTCCTGTGGACCTGGGTGTATGTGTGGGGATGCGGGGGGACATGAAATTTTTTTTAACATCACTAGTATGACGAATCCTTATCCTTTCTGTAATCCAAGGAGAGAATTCTTTCATTGATATTTTTCATTTGTTTCCAGGTTATGATGTTTTTAGAGATGAGGAATCTTTGTTCAAGCTCTGGAGTTCCTAAAAACGTTAAGGTTTATAAAGTGGTCAAAGAAAGCAAAAGTTTTCAACATGCTGGTTTTTGAGGTAGGAATTAAGCACTGCTTGAGGACCTACATATTAGGGCTCTGGAATCAGATGGTCAGGGTTAGATCCTGGTTTACACAGGATTATTACAAACTAGACTGCTAGCCGTACCAGGCGCTTCTTGGAAACCCTACACAGGGTCACTATAAGTTGGAAACAACTTGATGGTCCTTAACAACATTACTTTGTTCAAGGCATTTACCCTTTCTGAGCCTTCATCTTCCTGTTTTAAAAATGGCTGTGATGATACTATTGATCTCTTAGAGATGCTGTGATGTTAGAAGAAATAATGCATGCCAAATACCTGCTGTTGTGTGCCAGCTAGTGGATTCTAACCCATAGGCACCCTATCGCACAGAGTAAAACTGCTTTCTTAAGGTTTCCAAAGCTGCAGGCTCTATGGAAGCAGACTGTCACATTTTCCTCCTGTGGAGCAGCTGCTGGGTCCAAACCATTAACCTTTTGGTTAACAACTGAATGCTTTGCCCTTGTGCCACCCGGGCCACCATATGTACTCAATGGCGAGCAGATAACAATTGCTACCACTCTTGTTACTATTAGAAGACAAACCAGTAAAGAGCTCAAAATGAAAGCTTTGGATATGAGTACAACAAGTTTGTATATGTTACAAAACAAAAGCAAAAACAAAAACACCCAAACTGAATCAACTTTAATTCTTTATTTGCAAAATGAAGTAAGAACCCTTAGAGCTTAGGGTTTCAAGTGAGAGAATATATGAGGAAGCTTGAAAAAGTTCATGGAAAAGTGGAATAAAAGGACAATGGAATTTTCCCATGAATTTTTTGAAGCCCCCTCAGACCCTGACAAAATAAGGAATACAAGTGGCACTCAGCTGCTAACAAAAAAGTTGGTGATTTTAACCCATTCAGCAGCTCCATGAGAGAAACCCTTGGTGACCTACTTCTTTAAAGATGGCAGCCAAGGACTGCACCCTATGGGTTCATTCTACTCTATAACGTAAGTCACTATGAGTCAAAATTGACTCAGTGGCACCTTATGGCAATGTTGTTGTTGTTAAGTGCTGTTGAATTGGTTCCAACTCATAGCGACCCTGTATAGAGTTTCCATGGAGTGACTGGTGGGTTTGAACCTCTGACCTCATGTTTCAGGAAGAAATCTTGGTGGGAGGCAGTTTCCTTTGGAAGACTCTGCATCATTCATAATAAGTCTCCCTTGTACTGTGGGAGGAACCATTTGCCCCTAAGTTCTGCTTTCCCTAGATGGGTTTTTTTCTGTAGAGATATCCTGATCTTCTCTCTTCCATGGTCATTGTGAATTTAAAGAGAAAAATATCCAAAAAGTGCCTGCTCTGCTAGTTAATCTCTCTGTTATAACCTCAAACCTTGGGGCCTGGAGAGAACAACCACAACTTAAGGGCTTCCCAGCACAGTAAATGGTAAAAAATGAAAACAGTGTAGGAAATACAATCAGGACTAGACTTATGGGGGCTGTCTTCATCTAACTGTGTCTATACAAATGGGAAGAACAGCAGAGGCTAGTGTACCAGACCTCTTGATGTTGAGGTTTGAGGTCACTGTGTGGGTGAGAGAAGGACGAGGGCTCCTACAGTGACAAAGGCCTGTAGTTACTGTAGTTCAACCAGAGAAGTGGGTGACCATCTCAGCTTTGTATGGAAGTTAGTTCACAGCACAATCTCAACAGCAAGTTTGATAAACTGACACTTGAAAAAGTGTCAGTTTAGGCAATGTACATCCTTGGATTGTAAATAAAGCTCATGTCTAAGGCAGGGTGAAGGGGCATTGCATGACTCTTCAGAAGGCCAACAGATGTCTCTTTGGCAAAATGGATCAGGGCTTTGTTATTCAAATGCAACCCTATGTTTCCATTGCTGTGCATGGGGTCTGGAGACTGGATTACCTATGATGAGACAGTAACCCTGTTTGATGTTCTCAGACTGGTTGATGATAACATTTCTAGAAGGGTGTTGCATGGTTTGATTCACTGGTTCTCACACTGCGGTGAATATCACCTTAGACTCCTTGAGAAATTCAGATGTCTTGTGTTCTAACCCTAATGCGTCTGTTCCAGTCAGTCTGAGGTAGCTCCTCAGGTAATGCTGATGTAGATAGGCCGTGAATCATACTCAGAGGAACATGCTTGTTATGGGACTAGCCCTGGACTGGGACTTAGGAGAGGGAGCTGTGGCCTTGGTTTCTCCTCTAATGTGCTGTACCACCTTGTGCAAGTCACACTCTATCTCTGGGCCTGTTTATAAAGTAAAGGGAATAGACTAAATGATACCCAATGCCATTGAGTAGATTCTAACTCACAATGATGCTAGGCAGAATTTTAGAGACTGTAAATCTTTATAGGAGCAGCCAGACTCTTCTTTCTCTTGTGGAACTGCTGGTAGATTTGAACTGCTGATCTTACACAACAAGGGCTTGGACTAGATTGTTGTTAAGTGCCACTGAGCTGGTTCTTACTCATAGCATTGCTGTATAGGGTTTCTGAGGAGTGGCTGGTGGGTTTCAACTGCGGACATTTTGGTTAGCAGTCCAGTGTGTACTATGTAATGCTACACCAGGGCTCCAGGACTAGATCGGGTCTCAACCCAAGTAAGTAAGTTGGAAACTTTGACAAAATGCTGGTGTCTGGTCACCCTCCTAGAAATTCAGGCCCTCAGGCTAGCATAACATTTCAACATCCTGAGGATGACTTGGGCTGTATATGTATGTTTTTAAAACTCTAGGTGGGTCTAATTGCTGCCAAAGTTGAGAACTACTATTTAGGTGCCCTTTCTCACACTAAAATTCTGAATCTGAGAATTTTACATTACATTGCCTTAGACTTTATTTCCTCATTAATACCTTGGCATGGAGTGCTGGTGTGGTGCTGTACAATCAGCACTGAACTGCAAACCACGAGCGTGGCAGTTGATACCCACCACTTGCTCCTTGGAAAGCCTATACAGGGTTGCTATGAGTTGAAACTGACTCAACAGCACTAACAACAACAGCAACACGGTGGAGGAGTTCTCTCACATAAGACTATTTTCCAGATAATTTAAGAATGGCCTTTAAGCTTCAACTTTTTAAAACTTTCAGCCTACTTTGTTTTTCTTAATAAAACCCTCAGAATCTTTTTGATGGTTTAAAGTCATTACATGACCATTTATTAAAGTCATTAAATGGCCATTTATTCATGCACTCATTCAATAAGTATGCATCTGAAATCTATTGTGGGTGAGTGCTTATGAAGAAAATATTATATGTCAGGACATAATAATAATAACATAATAAATAACATTAAACATTCATTAGGTACTTGCAACATGCCAAGCACCGTTCTAAGTACTATAGTTTTATTAACTTAATCATTTTCCCCGATAATCTTCTGAAGTTTATTTCTATTTCACAGATGAGGAAACTGAGGCATAGAGATTTTGTACATTATCAAGCTCACATGGCTGGCTGAGCAGAGCTGGGATTCAAATCAGGCCCTGATCTCTCTGTGTGATCTGCCAGCACCTTGGTTTCCTTCTGTGCTGGATGACCTCTGAGGTCTCTTGGAGCCCCACACTTATGACTCCATGCCCCTCCTCCAGGTCCCTCAAGAGATCCCTCATCTGCATTAAGGAGAGTCTGCGTATCTTCATTGACCTGGGGGAGAGAGACAAGGCTGCTGAGGCCTGGCTTGGGGCAGGGCGCCTCCACTACCTCCTGCAGGAAGATGAGCTGGTAGAGCCATACCTTCAGGTAAGCCTCTGACAGAACTCTTGGGGATTCTCCTAACTCTGGGAAGCAGTCATGCCTTCAAACTGAATAGCTAGAACCAGGTGATAGTCACACTCAGTCGTAGACAATTTATATTGCTCAATGGCTGCTTGATCAAAACCAGCTGATAGGCTGAGTGTAGGTGGTGAACAGCCGACCTTTTAGCCAGCAGTTTGTACTCATCAACATTTGTGAGATCTAGAAGGCAGTTAGGGTTGATTTCCTCACCTACCACAACAAATATACCCATCCTTCCAAAGATGAACACATATTTGATTTCAATATTTTGTGGCAATTTGATGTGTGTGCAGGATGTTAACATTATTGATTTCTTACCATTGTTTTTTATTGCACACATTTACTATCTGAAATATAGTCAAAGCTATTGATTAAAGGCCTGGGTTTTGGAGAAAGACAGACTTGGAATCCAATCATAAGGCCATCACTTATGGACTGTGAGAACTTGGACTTGCTACATGAGCTCTCTGCATCTCTGAGTCTAAGTATCTCATAGAGTAAGGATTGGGTAAGATAGATAGATATATGCCTATATATGTGGACCTTGCTGGATAAAATACACAAGAATCAAATAGATTATGTTTGTGGGAAGAGACAACACAGAAGCTTAATATCATCAGTCCCAACAAGGCCAGGAGCTGACTGTGGAACAGATCATCAGTTGCTCATATACAAGTTCTTGTTGAAGCTGGAGAAAATTAAAACAAGTCCACGAGAGTCAAAGTACAACCTTGAGTATATCCCACTTTAGATTTAGAGACCATTTCTGGAATAGATGTGACACATTGAATACTAATGACCAAGGACCAAATAAATCGTTGGATGGCATCAAAGACAACAAGCATGAAGAAAGCAAAAAGCCATTAAAAAGACCAAAATGGGTATCAGAAAAGACTATGAAACTTGCTTTTGGAGATAGACTAGCTCTATGGAAGACATGACAAAATACAAGAGCTGAATAGAAGGTTTCTAAGGTTAGCTCAAGAAGACAGTCAGGTATTAGAATGGAATGTACAAAGATTTGTAGTTAGAAAACATAAGGGAAGAAAAATCAACTCATTGACATTTGACCATTTTAGGAAGTGTGGGGAAAGCACTGGACTGCAAGGTCAGTTTGAACAACACGGTCAGTGGTTCAAACTCACTAGCTGCTCCTTGGAAACCCTATATGGGTTGATATGAGTCAGAACTGACTCGACTGCACTTAACAACAACAATAACAATATGATCAAGAACTCATGGTACTGAAAGATGAAGTCCAAGCTGCACTGAAAGCAGTAGCAAAAAAAAAAGGAACAATGGAACAATGCTCCAGGAATTGACAGAATACCAATTGAGATGTTTCAACAAACAGATGCAAAGCTGGAAGTACTCACTTTTCTATGCCTAGAAATTTGGAAGACAACTACCTGACTAGTTGACTGGAGAAGATCCATTTTTGTGCCCAGACCAAAGAAAAGTAATCCAACAGAATGTGGAAATAATTGAACAGTATCATTAACATCACACTTGAGTCAAACTTTGCTGGACAATTCAAAAACTTACAGCAGTAGATTAACAAGGAACTGTCAAAAATTCAAGCAGGATTCAGATGAGGACATAGAATGAGGGACACTATTACTGATGTCAGATGGATCTTGGTTGAAAGCAGAAAACATCAGAAAGATGTTTATCTGTGTTGTATTAACTATGCAAAAGCATTTGACTTGTGGATCATAAGCAACTATGGATAATTCTTGGTATGACATTGGAGAAGTTCTTTCTGAGCCTCGGTTTCCTTATCTGGAAAACATAGGTGTTGAACTAGATCATTGTATTTTCCAATTTTAAATAATTTATACATGAAGTTCATGGTTTATAGCTAACTATGTACTTTCTGTAACATTATGTATGAGGGAACTTCAAAAAGCTCTAGAAAAATTCTGTTTTTCCACAAACATTTTGTTGACCCCTTCATACTTATTGTTTTTTGACTCAACTTTAGATCAGCTTACCTTGTTAAACTTAGCCTTATTCTAAACAGTGCCATCTGAAATTGAAATTTTAATGGGCTATTGATTTTTCTCAGAAACACATTGCCTTTGTTGTATAGTACTGCTATGTTGTTGTTAAGTGCCGTCGAGTCAGTTCTGCCCCATAGTGACCCTGTATAAGGTTTCTGAGGAGCAGCTGGTGAGCTTGAGCCGCTGTCCTTGCTGTTCAAACCAACTTTGCAGCCCAGTGCAGTAACCCACAGTGCCACACCAGGACTCCAGTACTGCTATAGTGGGGGACTTTAAGAAACAATGATTTATTCTCTTACAATTCAGAGAATATTAGAAGTCCATATTCAGGGCACCAGGAGGAGAAAGATGAGGCTTTCTACCCACATAAAGATTTACAGCCTTGGAAATCCTCTACAGGGTCTCTATGAGTCAAAACCAACTCCATGTCACACAACCACCACCAACAACTGTTCAGTGCAACAGCTCTATCTCTCTGTCAGGCCTGGGCAAAGGTTCTTGATTCTTTTCAACATCTGTGGGTCCAGCATTCCTTGGAGATTTCCATGTGTCTTGGCATCAGACTTCCCTGATAGTCTGTGAATTTCTCGGTTGCAGGGAACCCCAGGTCCAAAGTATGCACTCTGCTTCCGGCTCTTTGTTGTTGTGTCAATGAAGTCTCTCTTCTCTGTTGGCTTCTTTCCCCTTTTATCTCTTGTAAGATTAAAGGGGATGCTGGTCACACCTTAGAGAAGCTCCCCTTACATCAGATCAGAGTTATGGTCTGATTAAAGGTGTTATATCCCACCCTAGTTCCTTTATATAATCCCCTTGTGATAATCTGGTCAGATTAGATCATGGGAGATGATTACATCATTACATAGCTACCAGACCACTGAGAATCAAGGCCCAGTCAAACTGACACATACTTTTGGAGGACATAATTCAACCCAAAACACAAATTAAAAGAAATACTGAACTATTAAATGGGAAACATTTGTCTATATACTGCTGAAAATTATTTCATATCAACAAAAGTGATCTTTCATACCAAGATGGGGAAAAGTTGAGACAATCTCTAAAGTTTCTTACCAGTCCTAAGTGTGAATAACACAATTCAGGATACAGAGGACTGCAGCAGAAAGCTAAATGATGTAGTCAGGATCTCAGTACTGCCAGTCCTGTGGAGGTTTGGAAACCTTTGTCTCTACCTTTGATGACTGTCTCTGTTCCCTCCACAGGCAGCTGTCCAGACAGCCCTGAAGTCAGATGAGCCCTCCCTGGCTCTTAAACTCTATGAAGAAGCTGGTGATGTGTTCTTCAATGGGACCCGCAATAGGCATCGGGCAGTGGAATATTACAGAGTAAGTCATGCTGCACTTAGTTTGGGGTATTTCCCTGCTTGGTATTTCTTTTTCTTCCCTTCCTTGACCAGTGTCCATATACTCTTTCTCCTCTTCTCTCTTGTAGGTTCTCTGGGAGGGATCTGATGAACTCAGTTGCTGTCAGGTTTAATAAAGTATTCTTACTGGGGTTTGTTATTGTTAGCTGCTCTGTCATGACGGCCCTTATGTACAATGGAACAAAATGCTGCCTCATGTACAATGAAACAACCAATCTCATGACTGGTTGAGGATTGGGCTGTTGTGATCACAGGGTTTTCATTGGCTGATTTTCAGAAGCAGATCACCAGGGTGTCTTAGTCTTGAATCTCTGCTGAAACATATTCAGCATCATCGCAACACAAGTACCTCTATAATAAAGACACCTCTCTCCCAGAATGTTCCTGTGTACACAAGTGGCATGGGAGATGATTTAAAGTGGTACATGGATAAACATTTTTATTTTATTATATTTTTATTAAATATGCATCAAAATATATTTTATAAACTTAAAAATGTATAGTAATTATGTAATGGTGGGGTCAGATAGTGTGCCTAGGATAAGACAAGATAGTAAAAGGACATTAGTTTAAGAAGTAACATGAATTAAATAAATGTCCATGTGGTAAGTAGATATATTAAAATTATTATTTTTGTTTAAATATGAATGAAGTTTAGAAATTCTCGTTATCTTATTTGACCCTAAAATTTCATTTATTCAGATATTTATTCACTCATTTATTTTTTCATTTCTTTATCAGCCATGAAACATTTATTAATCACCTAATATGTCATTATGAGTTGGAACCGACTCTATAGAACTTAACAACAACAACAACAACAACAAAATATGTCCCAGTCTACAGCCATACCACTCTGAATGTCCCGAATCTCTTCTGATCTCAGAAGCTAAACAGGGTCAGGTCTGATTAGTACTTGGATAGGAGACCACCTGGGAATACCAGGTGCTGTAAGTATGGAAGCCTAATGTGGCACTGTAGGATAAGCACTTGACCATAAGGTTGGCAGTTCAAACTCACCAGCAGCATCTCAGAAACCCTGTACGGGGTCATCATGAGTCGGATCTACTTGATGACATTTAAGAGCAACACAATATGCTCCAGGAATCAAGTTAGGGGTAGGAGACAGTGGAGAACAGGAAACAAGTCCTTGACTCTTGACATGCTTATTTTCACATGAATTTTATAGATAAGAAAATTTAGCCTCAAAGAGATAAAGCAATTGCCCTAAAATCATAGAATAATGAGATAATGGAAATGATCACTTATTAAGCATGCTCAAACACTAGGCTAAGTTCTTTGCATGTCTTTCATATATATACTTTATAGACTAGTGCATAGGGTGCCATGGGAGCACATGGCTGGAAAATGACATTAGAAAAAAGTCCTCCTCTTTTCCTGCTGTTAGTTTCCAGTTTTAGGAGACAAGCTTAGACCTGTTGATCTCTGGCTCTTCCACCTTAAAGATCTGGGCAAAGCAACCAGGAGCAAGGAACAGAAGAGCCAGTTGAGAAAAGGCATATGTGGAAATGTGGTCCTCCCCACTTCAGTTTAGTTCGCCATCCTTCCCTCAGTAAGGCTTTTGGGGTACAGAATCTACTGATGGTTTTTAGCTAGAGTAACTGAGGTTTCTCATGCATCTGTTCTCAGGCAGGGGCTGTTCCTTTAGCAAGAAGGATGAAAGCAGTCAGAACCGAGCTCCGGATTTTCAACAAGTTGACAGAGCTGCAGATCAGCCTTGAAGGTTATGAAAAAGCATTGGAATTTGCCACCCTGGCTGCTAGACTCAGCACAGTCACAGGTAGGAGGTCTTATGAGTGGGAGGTAACCCTGTGAATGTCAGGGTTAAAAGCTGCCTAAAGATGGAGTCCTGGTGTGATACTATAGGAAAAGTACTCAACCTTAAGGTCAGTTTGAATCAAAAGGTCGGTGATTCAAGCTCACCAGTTACTCCTTAGAAACCCTATACAGGGTCGCTATGTGTCAGAACCTACTTGATGGCACTTAACAACAACAGTAATGGTCTGTAAGTTCTCCCTATGACGATGGACGTGAGATTTGAACTCAAGTTGTCTGATTCCAGCGCTTACGCTGTTAATACTTTGTTGTCCATCTTTTACTAACTAACCAGTGGCTATTGAGTCAAATCTAACTCATGGTAACCCCATAGAACTGTGTACTACAGGGTTTTCAATAGCTGTTTTTTAGAGGTGGACCATCATCAGCTCTTTCTTCTGAGGTTACTCTTGGTGGAGTGTGACCTCCAATGTTACAATTACCACCAATAAAACACTTGGGTAAGTGTTTTAACTGTTGGCAACACCCAAGGACTCTTTATCCATCTTTGTTGTTGCTAAGTGGCATCCAGTGGGTTCCGACTCATAATGACCCTGTTTCCAAGGAGTGACTGGTGAGCTTGAACTGCTGACCTGTCAGTTCAAACCGACCTTTTGATCCAGTGCTTATCCTACAGCGCTCCACCAGTACTCAAATTTATCATTAGCCTCAAGTTTATCACTGGCAAATCAGGATTAAAAATGGCACCTACCCATGCAGTTGCTATGCAGACTAATGATTATCCACTTAAAAGACACAGTGAGATGCTTGGCACATAATCTTTGATAAGTATAATTTGATAAGTATAATACAAAAATTTGTATCATTCTGATGTTTATTTTACAGTTAATACAACTCCCTGAGGTTAGAGTAAATGATATTTTGTTGTATGCACAAAAGTATAGTGCCTTAATATTTTAATTGGGTGGTTGTTAGTCAAAAGCACATTTCCCATTGGAAGCAAAATATAAATGAAGGTCAAGTTCCCAGGCAGGGTCATTAACTTAACTTACAACATAGCTAAAATAGCATGCACTTACAACAAAAGCTAGTGGAAAATAATGCATGTCATTGAAGTGGAAAAATAACAGAATGAAAAACAAAACAAAACCTCATTTTGAATGTTGTGCTTGAGGAAAAGTAGGTTTGATTAGAGGACGATATGGAGGGAAGTAATGTTTTCTGTGGTGATTCTAGAAGGGAGTTCTGGGCATTTTCAAGAGCCCAGAGGTGGATGGTATTGGACTTTATTGTGCCTAATTGCACTTCAAAGAGTCTCTCTCTCCTTTCCCTACTTTTTCCTTTACTGTGGAAAGCCTTATCTGAGCTGCCTGTCTGCTAATCTCAGGAAAAGCCTTAGGCTGTCCCAGACAGATCCCTCTGAGCATTCTTTTCTTTTCCTGTCAGATGGAAACTGACAGGAGGCTATACACACCCTGTATGCATGTATTTCCCCTGGTTAGATTTTTCAATATCAGAGAATTTGTCTCAGCTTTGGACTTTAATTTTAGCTTGTGAGCTCTATGAAGATAATACTGAACAGCCACTATGCAAGTATTCCAAAGACAAGATTGGAAGCTGTCGCTTCCTGTTCAAGAATGTTTTATATTAATAAAGTTTAGTTAGTTATTAAAACGACAAGCCCACCAAAATAAATCATAGACCCATTAGTAACCAATGTCCTAAAATATGGTTTAAGAGTGAATGGAACCCTATTTAGAGAAGCAGTGACGCCAGAGATGGAGGCAGAGATGGGGACATGGAGAGAGGGAGCAGCTGAGGACTCTGGACTCATGGGAAGAGAGGGACTGAGTGCTGCTGCCCAGGAGGCAGGCTTGCTGAATGTGCCCTTTGGTAGTTTAAGTTATTATAGATTCCTGAGTGTTTCTGTGTCCACCCCCCACTAAAAACAAAAACAAAAACAAACAAAACAGAGGGAATGGAAGTAAATATTGTTGAATGATGGTGCACAGAGGAGATTGTAATCATTGCAATGAAATGATGGTGTAAAGCTGATGTTCTCCCATGTAAACTATCACTCAGTTCACAATAAAAACTTAAAAAAAAAAAAAAAAGTGAATTGGATGATTTCTCTGTGATTTGCCTGGGACTGCAAGCCAGTAAAGAAGCTAGAAACAGCAACAAACAACCCAAAAAATGTCATTCTTGTGTTGAGTCTGACATTGGGGGATGCCCCGTGTGTCAGAGTCGAACTCCACAGAGTTTGCAGTGGTTCATTTTTAGAGTTAGATTGCCAGGCCTTTCTTCCAAAACACCTAGGAGTAGACTCAAACCTCCAACTTTTCAGTTAGCATCTGAGTACCTTAACTCTTTGCATCACTCAGGGACTATAAAGGACTAGAGAGTGACTTCTCTAAGTGGCAGCCCAAGAGAACTGTAAAAGCAGTTGGCATGTTTTCTACAGAGAGTGACTTGCTATGGAGAAGACATTTGTTATACAGAATTGTTCACTGTATGGAATTGTTACTTAATCAAGATAATCTTGTCATCATGTCCAATGGCATGTATTAAGAAAGAGATGCTGTTTCCTAGAATCCTGAATGACAGGAACATTTGCCATAAGGAAAAAGTTTTCTTTAGGGAATCTCTAAGAACTTGACAAGGACAAATACACCAATTGTTGTTAAGTGTCATTTTGTTGGTCAGGACTGATAGCACCCCTGTATAGGGTTTCCGGGGAGTCCTGATATGGTGCTGTAGGATAAGGACTGGATAGCAAGGTGGGTTTGAACTCATCAGATGTTCCTCAGAAACCTTATTCAGGGTTGCTATGAGTCGGAACTGGCTGAACAACACTCAATAATCAATAACAGCACAAAGTTTCTGAGGCTGTAAATCTTTGAGGGAGCAGAAAGCCTCATCTTTCTCAAATGGAGTGGCTGGTGGGCTCAAACTACTAACCTTCTGGTTTGGAGTCCAGTGCTTATCCTACAGAGCAATCACACTCCTCAAATACACCAATTAGTCACTCTAATAGAGTCTTGTGTTGTCTCTTGTAGTCCTTGTAGCAGGTATAATTCTGTATCTATTGTGTGATTATTTTAGGAGTGTCTGTGTTACATGGCACAGTCAGCTTCATGAGGGCAGAAGATTTCTGTTTCATATTTCTGGCGCTAGGCACAGTCCCTGACACTGAAGAAATTCAAAAATTTTGCAGAATGAATGATGCAGGATGTTGGCTACAGAAGCTCTCTCTGTGTCTTCCGTTTCCTAGGAGATCAGAGGCAGGAACTGGTGGCTTTTCACCGCTTGGCTACAGTATATTACACCTTGCATCTGTATGAGATGGCTGAGGACTGCTACCTGAGGACTCTGTCCCTCTGCCCACCGTGGCTGCAAAGTCCCAAGGAGGCCCTGTACTATGCCAAGGTGTATTATCGTCTGGGACGACTCACCTTCTATCAGCTGAAGGTAAGGGCCCTGCTTTCAAGACTGCATGAGAGCTACCATCCAACCACATTCTTTCCTGACCTACATGGAGTCCAGAACACCCAAGAGCTCATCTGAGGACTCCAGTGGAGTGGAAAGGACCCACTAGGAACACAATGGCTTTTCTCCTTAGCCTCACTGGAAACCTTGAAGGGTGTTTCCATCTCTGCTGAGCAGACAGAACATAGTGGCTCTTCTTCCTTGCTCAAATGTGATTTCTGGGACCACTTTATCCATCAGACACCTTAAAAGCCTATGAAAATATGAGACTCCCAAAACACAAGAACCCTAAGCCCCCAAGCTAAAATAAAAAGTAATAAAGATTGAGCAATGTGACACGCAATGTGACAAGTTAACTGCAACTCTCCTTCTTACAAAGTTATGTAAGCTACATTTGATAAGCAATGTGAGTACATTTAAAATGTTGGAGGGAATGAGGGTCTTCTAATGTAAGCATGACTAGGTTCTGAAAAAGGATTCTCCTGCTTGCACTACTAGAGTTGACTCTAATACTTTTTATTTTTCCAGTCACTTCCAGAACTGTGTTGGAGGTCTATAATTTTCTATTTCAACTATGACCCTTGACCTTTGTCCTTGGGTTTGACTTCTCTTTACCAGAGGTCCTTGTCCCCTCTAGCACAACCCTTAATTTCTTAATGCACTGGCTTCTGAGTCACGCCTGTGTTTGATCCCCAGGGACCTCAGGGCAGCTCTGCTGTTCTTTTCTTATTTGCCAGACTTGTTTCTGGCCTGAATTAATTATTGACTTGTGAGTGTTAATAAGAACCAGACGTCCCTTTTTGAATCTCACCCAAGGAAGGATCTGTTCCTTATCCCTATTATGTAGAGAAGCATAAGTGGCCACTGAAGTCACTCCCTGACATCTTTCTTCTGCTCATGGATGCTCCTAAGAGTGGTTCAGGGACAAAGTGTGTATGATTTGATTGTATCCACCAAGGATTCTGTGGATTACAAGGGAAAGAACTCAGCTTACACTAGCTTAGGTAAAAAGACAATTTAGTGGTTCAAGTAGCTGCAAAGTTCAGATATGGATTTAGTTTGATACAGCTCTAGAGCCTCTGCCTCTCATCATGAATTTCCTCCATGTCTTTCTGTATCTCTTGGCTCAATATGCTTCTATTTCTTAATGTTTCTTGGCCTCATTCCCTTCTAGCTGCTGGTAGGCTCAAAATCACATCTAAAAGACTGAGGGGCTGCTCTAATTGGTAGGACACATTAAAACATTCTGGAATATGTTTGGGATGGGCCAACTGGGGCCATGTACACATCCCTGGGCCACCGTACGCAGGGTGATGCTGATGCATGATTGGTGGTCCCTGGGCAAGGGAGATGTCCTTACTGTGTGAGAGGAGGAGGGAAGTCTGATTAGCAGGACTCAGGGGCCCACAGTGGAGTAGAAAGGTGCTCTGCCATAGAACCAGAAGAGGGTGGGAAAATATGTTGTGTAGACAAAAGCCAAAGTGTACAGTGCTATATCCAAAACCTCTCTTGAAAATGTGTGCTCATGTTATCTCTTCTTTGTCCCTATGTCATGTGTTCAGGATGCCCATGATGCCACTGAGTACTTCCTGCTGGCCCTGGCAGCAGCGGTCCTGCTGAACGATGAGGAGCTGCAGGATACCATCAGGAATAGGTTGGATGACGTCTGTCAGAGCACCCTGTGGTACAGCTGCCCCTCCGGGCGCTCTTCAGAGAGGGCAAGGTGGTTGAGTGGTGGTGGACTGGCCCTCTGAGAAGAGCTAATCCCACCTTATCCAGACAACATGGCCAGAAACCACGCCTCTGTCACAGGCTCCCAGGCATTAATCCTGGAGGGTTAATCCAGTTGCATCACTCTACAATGCGAAGAGCAAAATCCAGAAGGAGAGGTGCTCATTCCTGTGTACAGAAGGCAGTGATGATGGAGCAGGGAGAGAGGTCCTGGTTCCAGTCCCTGTCCTGTTGACTTGTAGTGATTGTCACCTCTGAACTGCACTTTCCTAGCACACAATTCTTGTGGAGAAAAAGAGAAAATCTGTCCTCTTGGGACCCTGATCTCTTTCCCCCAAAGTGAGGAAGCAAGGCACAGTACTGTGCTAATGACAACATAGGTCAGCCACTAATTTTTCTCAGGGAAAGATAACCTCCCATTGCCAACCAAGAAACTGGTGGTGGTTTCTTTCTTTTCTTTCTGCAACTAGAACTGGAGGAGGTGTCACTACGGAAACTCATGGGGGCTGGCTGAGAGAGAGTTCATATTCTGAATTCAAAAGACACCACCTCTGAATGGTCAGATGAGATGATCAGGGTATGAGGTCTGACACCTTCTCACAATTTCTATCCTTTCCTCCAAACCCCAAGAAGCTCTCCAAAGAATAAGGCTCAAAAATCAAATATTTATGTTCTAATAAAAAATGATGCAAACAGTGTATATTATTGAATATCCATCAACATTTCTACACATGTGTTGTCACTTTTATATGAGGGACAGTTGAGATGGGATCTTGAAGAATGATGGGTCAAATACCAAGATGTCTAATTGATTTCAGGGTAGATCCTTTGCAAACCATTTAGATTGGTTACTTATCACTACATGACAAATTACCTCAAATGTAGTGGCTTCAAACAACATTTATTATCATCTCACTGTTTCTTTAGGACAGCAAACCAAGAGTGGCTTCGTTGGGTCCTTTGGCCCAGGGTGTCTACAAGGCTGAAGTCAGGGTGTCAGCCAAAGTTATAGTCATCTCAAGCTCAACAAGGAAATGGTCCCCTTCCAGGCTCAATCACATCATTATTGGCAGGAGTCAGTTACCTGCTGGTTATTGTCCTGAGGCTGCAGTGGTTTGATGGTAGTATGCATAAAAATCAGCTGGAGAGTTTCTTGAAAATGAGCTTTCTGATTCCTACTTCTAACAATTTTGAGTCAGTAGGTTTGGTGTAGAAACCAGGAAACGTGTCTTTTTAACAATTCAAGAGACCCTGAAGCAAGTGGTCCTTAGGTTTTTAAATTTTTGTGGTTCATGGTTCTCAGGAAGAACTTTAAATCTCCCTTGCTCTGAAATGTGTGAACATACATGAAGATCTGGCCCTGAGGCTCACAGTCTGTTACCCACCAACCTAGACATTACTGCCAGACTGTCTGTTCTTCTAGCTTCTTGGGCCAACCTGTCAATGGTAGTGTAGTGAGCAGTGAATTAGGTCACCATTGCATCTTCTAGTTCTCAAGGCTGCCTACCCACCAATACATCCTATCCTTTCTCATGGGCTTGCTTGGTTGTCAAAATACTAGAGAGTATTTTTCCCTAGAAAGGAAATGAAAGGACTAATCAAAGACCATTTAAAATAAATGTGGTTTTTGTTCCCACCACAAGCTTAAAATCCCTGAGCTGGGAAGGATGTAGATGAGGCCAATCAGTCTAACCTCGTATGTGGAGTCCTTTCAACACTATTCCTGGAGATGGTCAGGGCAAATGCATTCCAGAACAGTTATGCATCTTGTGTTTGAAAACAGCTCATGTGACCCTGGAGCCTATACCATGAACCATTTCCTCATTTGACATGATTTACACCCTGCCACTCCCCAAGACCTTCTCTTTTACCACCAACTTATCCACTGTCCTCCAAATTTGTTTTCCTATGAGAGTATGGTTCCTTTAACTGTCTCAGCCTTTTGGTGTTGGCTGGTGGGTGAAGAGGGAGGTGACTGTATTTCACTTAATATGATGTAATGTTGCATTTGGGGATTCCTGGTGTGGCACTATGGTATAAAGCACTGGACCACCAGGTCAGTTTGAACCATGAGGTTGGTGGTTTGAACTCACCAGCTGCTCCTCAGGAACCCTATAATGGGTCACTATGAGTTGGATATGACTCAACAGCACTTAACAACTACAACATATAATAATTTAAGAAGCCCCGGTGTTGCTTTGGATTAAGTATTGGGCTACTGACTGCTCCCAGAAAGGTTTATAATCTCAGAAACCCTATGAAGGTTTACTCTGTCCTACTGGGATGTTATGAGTCAAAATAGACTTGAGTGCAGTGGGTTTGGTTTGGTTTTAAAAAATGGTTTGCTCTGGTAGCGTAGTGATTACGAATCAGGCAGCTAACCTCAAGGTCGGAAGTTTGAAACTACCAGCCATTCTGCGGGAGAAAGATGAGGTTTTCTGCTCTCTTAAAGATTTGCAGCCTCCAAAACCATGTACAGGGCCACTATGAGTCAGAACTGACTCCATGGTATTTAACGACAACAACAAAATGGTTTTTAAAAAATGTATGAAAATGCCATTAATTTTTTTTTTTTTTGAATATGGCTATTTGTTCACTTGGCTTGTGGTTGATGCTGGTTTATTTTTTATTTTTATGACCCACAGAGATTTATTTGGCCTCTATACAAGGGAGTCTTATTATACATATATCAGAACCAAAGAAGAATTAGTTAATATGATTCTTTATCGGAATCCTTCTCCCACTTGTAAACTTTCAAGGCTTGCCTAGTTCCTGAGTCTTCAAATCTCCTCTAAGTGAGAAGCAAGGAGAGAGAAGCAACAGTGGAGAAAACCCTGTAACATGTTTTCTCTGCTTTCAGGCACATACTTCCTTAACAGTGTTAACACTCTGGAATCCAAGATTGCTTTTATCCATGTCTTGTTTGCTTTTCCATTCTTCTAAAATTCCTTTATATTATGTGTGTGCTTGCTTGCTTGTGCTTTGTAAATAAAATATGACTCTGTTGACAGAAATTTATTTGGGGAAGGGAATGTGCAGGGGTGGAAGCGATCAGAGTCGGGGGAGACTCTCACTCACTAGAGGGCTGGGAAATCTTTGTTTGGTCTTGATTTTGAGATTCAAGTGCAGTGTGATCTTGGGAAAGTCATTTAACTTCTGTGCACCTTAGAGCTCAGCTCTGTGAAGTGAAAAGTGTGAGTATTTCAGAATTCCTTTTCAATAATATTACTTCCATAACAGCATGAGCAGGAAGGAGGAGATCGTATATGAGGCATGAAATCATACCTTTATGGATACTTTTTAGTTAATGGCTAAGGAACTTTGGTGGCACTGTCTGCAAGATTGGTGGTTCAAGCCCAGCTGAGGCTCCGTGAGAGAAAGATGAGGCTATCTGCACCTGTAAAGATTTAGTCTTGGAGACTCTGTACAGGGTTACTATGAGTCAGAACCGTTTCTATGGCAGTGGGTTTTTGTTGTTGTTGGTTTGGTTTTTGGTTTTTGGTTTCAGACAATAGTACCCTGGATCTTATGACCCACAAACTTAGTTATTTAGTGACAGAGTTTCTGTAATTCAGGATTTCACAGTTATGTTGTTGTTGTTGTTAAGTGCTGTTGAATCGGTCTCGACTCATAGTAGCCCAGTATAGGGTTTCCGAGGAGGGCAAATGGATTTGAACTGCTGACCTTGTGGTTCGAGCTGACCTTGCAGTCCAGTGCTTTATCCCACAACATCGCACCAGGGCTCCTTATAGTATGTCTGCATGTATTAATCAGTGGGCATCATCTCAGCAGTCATTTACCAAATTCCTTATCTAAATTGGTTGATTTCCTTTACTCTTTATAAGTTCATCTTATGAAAGGCAACTGTATCACTGCCATAGGTGGTGTGGTGGTGGTGGT